GTTGCTTCCACGGCCGGCACGACAAGCACACGTGGAGGAAGACGACAAAGAGGAAGACGACCACCACGAGCAGCAGCAGAGGCAATCTCCTCTGCAWATCTGCCATGAATTCGACGTCGASAGGCGACCTTGCACGTGACGTCCTGCTGAACTTTCTCSTTGCATGCCCRCGGACAAGGCCGCTRGACCTTCATATGCCGTCGACCGCCADCGAAGACRACAAACGTTGGCGCCYCCGATTCAAAAACTGACCGTTGGCGCCCACGCCGCCTCCGTGTGTCGTCGTGCAGACGTCTGGGAACTCCTCCGTTGCCTGCACCCGAGCCAACGGTCTGCAACGGCCGCCCGCCTGGCCACGCTTCGCCCCGCCTGCTCCGCCCCACCGTCCAACGGCTACTGGTCGGGGCCGTTGCCGTCGTCGACCGCCAGAAAACCTCCGATGTCCGCCCACCGGCCCGATGGACCTCTCCTGGACCAGCTCCTCCGTGTCGACGGTGCCATTCTCACGACGCGACGACTCCGTGAAATGCGGGAATCCTARATTTTTCAGTAGGTCSGGGGCTACTGGAAAATTTAGGACGATTTGGCTGGGGAATCCTAAATCTTTTAGGACGAGTCCTAACGCCGTTTTCACATTTTCGATTCCCGCGTCCCATTTAGGACTGCGTGCAACCAAGACGCAATCCTAAAAGCAGGAACTTTTAGGAGTGTCTAACGAGACCCTAAGGCTGGGCTCTCTGCTATAGTCTTCACATTCCTATGCCCATCTTTGTTTAGACTATCTACGTGTGGTGCACACCTACCACATTGGGCACAGACCTTGTTCCGTCATGGCGTGTGTGCAGGCCATATAGGTGAAAATATTGCATTATCAATACGGTTTACTGGGCAGCTCTGTTTGACGCCTGATGAGTTGGTGAAACTCTGACGAAACAGTTTGTCACAGCCCCTCGTTTGTTGTCCTCTTCTCTCTCTCTGCCTGCGGTTTACCGGGCAGTTCTGTTTGTGACGATATATGACGATATATAGATATATATATATCGTCAAATAGAACTGCCCGGTAAACCGTAGGCAGAGAGGGAGAAGAGGACAACAAACGAGGGGCTGTGACAAACTGTTTCGTCGGAGTTTCACCGACTATATATATATATACGAAACAGTTTGTCACAGCCCCTCGTTTGTTGCCCTCTTCTCTCTCTCTGCCTACGGTTTACCGGGCAGTTCTGTTTGTGACGATAGCCTCCTGATGAGTCGGTGAAACGATGAAACAGTTTGTCACAGCCCCTCGTTTGTTGTCCTCTTCTCTCTCTCTGCCTACGGTTTACCGGGCAGTTCTGTTTGTGACGATATATATGTATAGGTTCAGCCTCCTGATGAGTCGGTGAAACTCCGACGAAACAGTTTGCCACAGCCCCTTGTTTGTTGTCCTCTTCTCCCACTCTGCCTACGTTTACCGGGCAGCTCTGTTTGACTATATATATCTATTTGACGATATATATAGTGGGAGTTTTCCATCTGGTGTGGGTGAGTGATGGTCTGCTTTGATTTTCGTCACAGGTACCTCCAGGGCAGTTCTGTTTGACGATATAGAGTGGGCACACGTATTGGTCTGTCATGGTGTGTGTGTAGACTCTACATATGCGTAGGTGAAATATTAATATATAGCAACAAATCGGAAACTAGTTGATTTAGTGGCCCCTTGTGCCTTGGTTGGGAATGCTAGAGGATGTACAGCTATTGTACGCCACCAGTTCTTGGCCCCAGCCAAGCTGAGAATCCGATTGAGCCTCTTCCAAAATTTTTGGAGACTTGGGACAGGGCGTGCGAAGTGCCAGTAGGGAAAAGAATTGTCCCATGCTGTGTGGTGGCACTATGCCCAGCCCTGAACCAAAAAAAAAAAAGATTCTGCCAGCCCCCAGGTGGGCCCTGTCCCGAGTCCCCAAAATTTTCGTAGAGGCTCATTCGAATTCTCCAGTTGGTACTCGTGGTTTAAACCACGAGTTCACGGACCCCAACTATTCACCGAAATGCAGTACACTGCGATTGTGGCAAGATGAACAGTGATCCGGCATGGCACAGGTTTGGAGGGAAAAGGCTGGTGGGCCCAAAAAGAAGGGATTGAAAGCGAAATTGGAAAAA